ATTAAAATCAATCGAAAAATTCATTTCTTTTGTTCTTTTTTTTTCTATAATTTTATAAGTGCAAATATACTTTATATAATAACTTTAATTGTAATATAATTATATTTATAATTTTTTGTGCTATGTATTCTAAATATATTTATATTCTGCTTTTTCAAATTCTTTTCATCTTACATAATACATGAGATTATCAATAAAATTTTTAACCAAGTTTCGATTAGTAAATGGATAATCTAATAAAAGTAAAATTTAAAACCAAAATGAATTTTTTGATCAATTTAATAATATACTAGTAAGTAAGAGAATTATAAATGAAACGGATATATATATGTACTATACATATATATATATATATATATATATATATATTATATATATATATATATAAAAGTTGGAGCTGACCTTCGCGTGTCCTTCAGGTGGCTCTTCAAGATTAAACTAATGACACCATCTTATGTCCCCCTTGAAACCATACAAATTTTGTCTAAAACTTTTTTCAAAATAATCGACTCCAATCGAGATATTATCTTGTCTCAAGATAAATGCCCCACCCTGTATATATATATATATATATATATATATATATATATATATATGTAAGGAAGTATACTTCCTTAGTATAATTTGTATTCTCCCGCCATCATGCGTGTTAATAATATAACTTCCACTTGTACAGTAGAATAGCAGAACAGCTTAGGTTAGTAAAATGATGGTGGAGATGAGAGAGAGAGAGAGAACAGTTAGACAGGTTACAGTCTACCATAAATAATAACTCATAATTTAAAATAACTGTAATTGAGGAGATGCTAAAAAACTAACATTGAATGTCGTTTCTTTGTTTTACAGGTAAGAATGTAAATATTGTAATTAGTAATTCCTATGTAATAAATCAACATAATCTTTGTTTTACAGAGAAACTTTTGCGTTAGTGTTATTGAGCCTTTCCCAACAATTATACATTATATATATATACTGTTTTCCAAAATTTTGGAAACAATAAAATATGTAGACCAATCGCAACACATACGGTTTGGCAATCCATACTTCGTCCAGCTTATTTGCAATTGCTATACCCATTAAAGTTGCGCAATGATTTGCGCTTATTTTATTTTTGTCTATTTTAGTGTTTATACCGTATTTCTAAACAAACCAAATTACAGCAATTGATTAAATATGTGTATATATTATAATCAATTAACGCGCAAAATGTACAGAGTATTTCACGAAACTCGAGAGAGAGAGTTTCACTAAAATACTCTCGGAAAAACGAGCGAAATTGTGAGTTTTATTCACTCTTTTTGTTACTTTTTATTGAAATGTGTTTCATGTAATAATACATACTACACAAGATCTTTCTGTAAAGCTTTTGGCCCGAAAATTCGTCTGTATCGGACCCGGACAAACGATTGTCACATCGATATGCTTAGAATAATCTAACATTAAGGATTTAAAATAATCCTGCAAATAATATAATGTTACTACCTATTTCTCTTAAAAATTTTCGCAAAATTATTCGTTCAACAAAATTATCGTATACGGCTTAAAAGTACTTACATGTAACGCATGTTTAATACCATTATAAGACCCTGACATAATTGCCGGAAAAAATCCCGCGGCGCTAGAGTTGATGACAATTTGGCCATAGCCTGTTTGTAAAAAATACTTAACTGTTAATCTACTTAAAGATATACAATGGACAATACATTCAATTCAAATATTTCTCTATCGACTGCTATTTGAATGTTTTCCCATTGCTGATTTCAATCCTTGTTGATTTCAACCAGCATTATTAACGAGTATATCCAACTGAAATGCATACCGTAGTAAGATTCTTTTTCGATCAAATAAAAAATAATAAGTATTAATTAATAAATAATAAATAGTAAATAAATAATAAATATTAATATAATAAAAAATGACAAATATACATAAAAGATTTGATCGAATTGCGCAAATCAACGTGATCGTAAATCATAAATACGTGAAACGTACTTTGCCAAATTTGTTGATTACATGTAGGAATGCTTCTTCGTGCGAGTAGTTAAGCAAATCGTCCAAATTAAGCACATCTAAAGGGTACACTTCCACATCATTGTCGTTTAAATATTTGTTTTCTGAAGAAAAGAGAGTGAAACGTTTATAAAAATCTCAGCATATTTTTATACAGTTTAATATTTAAAATTATATGAAGAAAAATCGTTTATTTATTGGAAAGAATGTGGTATTTTCCATATGCGCTTATTTTTAAATAAAAATACATAAAAGTACGTTAAAGAAAATGAGTCAGCAAAGAGTCGGCAATATTCGCGGTAACGGCTCAAATCTCCGTGTGTTGTTGTTTTGAACGCTCGATCTCGACTCTGTCAACCGTCCCCGCGGCCTCTCTCTCGATGCCTTCGCCGGCGATCTACTCGACTTCACGCAATCGAGTTATTAACGATCCATCTATGATAGCGGAAAATCTAAAAATCCCTACAATAATTACTAAGTCCGCAGTATATAGTAAAAGTACTGCACGAGCCAACCACGCTGCTCTGAAGAATTACACCGTAAAGCTGAGAGCGCATCATCTTGTTTCATAAAATATCGAGCTTTAAGATAAGATTATAGAATATTAAAACAATGAATTGACAGATTTTGTTTTATCTTGTAGGATAGTAGGATAATAGGACAGTAAAATAATGGATTGATAGATTTTATTTCATCTTATATTGCAATTTGCCAGACTCTATCAAACGTCTTAGAAATATCAAGCAAGACTTCAGAATATTAACTTTTGCGTCAATTCCTTTATGGATTCGACTAACCAATTTACGTACTAAGGGGTGCATATAATTATATATTATATATATATATATATATATATATTATATATTATATATTATATATTATATATTATATAATTATATAGAATGAGAGAAAATAAAAAGATTGGGAAAGAATAAGAAGAAATATGAGAATATGAGAAAGAAACAGAGAACATTGTATAGAATAAGTAAATAAAAAAGAGGAAAGAGACGTGTAAAAATCAGAATGATTGAAAGAAAATGAAGGAAAATAAATTAAATTTAATCACAGGAAGATTAGTCAATTTTAAAATATTAATTACTTAATTTTAATATTATGTTATTAATTTTAATAATTATATAAATAATAATAATGGCTGTTCTTCCGAACACGATCGTGCTCCGATTTAAGTCAAATTGTAGATAGGTTCCTTTTAGGTATAAAAGAAGTATATGAGAAGAATTTTTGGCGACTCGAAAATTAAGGCACTTTTTATGCCCTTTTTCTTAAAAGTGAATATTACGTTTAGACAGTTTGCCTTAATTTTAGAGTCGCCAAAAATCCTTTTCGTATACTTCTTTTGTACCTAAAAGGAACCTATTTACAAAATTTGACTCAAATCGGAGCATGATCGTTTTCAGAAGAATCATTATAAATCATTATAAACAAACATCATTATAAACAAAAGACAATTGATAACCATTCATAACCATTGATGCATCGATAAAATAGTTATTTGATCTCTGATTGACTAAACAACCGCCCATGTTTTGTGAACATCGCTAATAGATTTTTACAATCGTAAATTATAAATTATGTTGCGATTTTTATTAGAGACAAAATCGCTTTGCATATGTGCTTGCAAGAGTGTGTAAATGTTGAAAAATGTCACAACTGGTATAGGATTATCATACTTCAGAAATGATTGCACTAATTTTATTCAAACTCAAAAGCCGCAACCGAAAAATTGCATCACTATTACAAAATATTGTTAAATTTTTGATTATGACTTTAGTTTCTGAAATATTTTAATCGGAAGTTTATTTATAAAAAAATCCCGGATAAACTACTTGATAATGCCTCGATATATCGAAAATAGTGACTCTCACGATCAGATCCAGTTTATTTATTGTTATGTATTTGACATCACGATATCACCGCGTCGGTTGATTAGTTTCTATGATTTTTACATATATCTTTATTATATAACATTTTTAATATTTCAAAACATTATAAATCAAGAATATAATTTTGTAATTCTTGTATTTCTAATAAACGTAATTTTCAAAAGTTATATAATTTTTATAGAAAAAAAGCAGACTTAAACAATATATACACTTATATACATATCTATGCACTATAAACACTTCAACAACAATTTTTCTGACGTGGAAGTGACATATTGTTTTATTATCATGTTGTTTTCAATTTCAATATCAATATCAACGCGCGCGCGAGCGTGTGTGTATGTGTCTCGATTAGTTCATGTCATTAAAGAATATTGATGTGTGCGTCTGTGTATGTGTGTGTGTGTGTGTGTGTGTGTGTGTGTGTGTGTGTGTGTGTGTGTGTGTGTGTGTGTTGTGTCTCTAACCTATTCAGACCCTATGTACACAATTATGCACAAAAACATAACATAACATAACAATACCATAAAAAATTTAGGTCTGAATGGCTTAAGCAATGTGGAATTATTCAACCGTCGGTATGTCAAGACATACACTTCTGATTATTAATATTATTAAGCACAAAACAAAATGTTTCACCTATCCGTTGTTCATGAATGTATTGAGGGAAAGATACATGTACATTTCGATCAAAATTTCTCGTTTATATAGAATCGTATACAATTATGTATGATTGTATTTGAACTATATTTGTTACTTATACATATTTATATATGACGCAAGACTTACATATAATTATATATTAAACTAATAAAAATCCATGTATAATTATACATAAAACATTGTGAACATTATATATAATTATGCAAAATGCGCACTTATATATAATTATATGTAAGAGTTATTGCACTTATATATAAATATATATAATGTCTTGTACTTTATTATTTATAATTATACATATTTTTGCACAATTATATATAGTTTTGTACAATTATATTCAATTCTGCATGAATATACATGAAAAACTTTTTACCGGGTATGCCCATGAGCTGATGAACGGCTATAAGTATAAGTGAGATTTACATTATTAGTTCGAGAAGATTTGTTTTACTGACATGTGTATCTGCTTGAACAGATTTGCAATTGCATTTTAAACATTCGAGTGTTTTATTTGACCGTTTTATTCGAAAATTTATCAGGTAATATATAAAATAAAATTTTATACTACTATTGTAAAATCCCAACAATGATTAATGATAATATAATTATTTTAAGAGCATGATTTTTATATAAATATTTAATAAATTTTTGAAATATCACAAGCTGTCAGTTTTGTACGATTTTTATATTTTGTTATAATTTTATTAAATATATATTATAACAAAAGTATTTTTACAGAAATATGTTTAACAATTAGATACACAACAAAACGATAGAATAAACCCTTATAAGAAATCACGATAATTATGCAATTTGTATATTATATGAAAACACAATATAATAGAATAATGATTATGATATAAATTAAATAAAGCCAAAAAAATAATTTTTTGTTTTGATACAATTTGCGAATGCTAAATTAAATAGATTTGGTTTATAACAAAAAACTCTGTTTATAAAATAATAAAAAAAGTATTTTTACAGAAATATGTTTAACAATTAGATACACAACAAAACGATAGAATAAACTCTTATAAGAAATCACGATAATTATATAAATTGTATAGTATATGAAAACACAATATAATGAAATAATGACTTTAATAAAAATCATATAAAAATTAATAAAATAATTTTTTGTTTTGATACAATTTGCGAATGCTAAATTAAATAGATTTGGTTTATAACAAAAAACTCTGTTTATAAAATAATAAAAGTATATTTATAGATCTAAGATACTTTCGAACAAATGTTTGCATACAAATAAATTTTAAGTAAATATTGTAACGTAATTGTTTAAGATTTTTATACATTTATACAGCTATAGATTAAATAAAATTATAATTAAAATACTAATGCTAAAAACAATGTATAAATGTTTGCGACAAGATTTAATATAAGAATTGATATAAGGGAAACTCCTGAGATAAGAAATACTCGCCCTAATTAATGATTTGCAATAAGTTCTCGAAATTTTATCTTTTACAATAAAAAGCAATTGCAAGTAATGGTCGAAAAATTTTAAATATTTTTATTGTATTCATAGATACTTTATAACGTAAATAATGAACAAATTTATCATATTATTTCATGAATCTTTCAGTTAATCGTAAAAGTTAATTATAAAAAAAATGTATGATTTATTCCGCATTTCAGTGATCTTACTATTATTCTTTCTCTCTTTATGTTTCTTTCTACTTAGGATTAACATTTAGAATAACAAGATAATTATCAATTTTGTCGGAGAATTAATTTGTGACATGTGTGAAGAATCAAAGAAACAATAAACAGAAGAAGCTTAATTTGACAGTTAAAAATATCAACGTTAAGGAACAATGTTTATAAATATATTGTTATTATATCGATTCATATTTATTATATCGATATATTATTATTACGTACATTATGGAAGAAAAGGACGATTTCTTCATCTTTTACCGGGACCTCCGAGCGTTCCGATTTTTGGTCACGCATTCCTAGCCCAAGTTTCAGCAGGCAAGTACAACATTTCTACTCTATTTACGTTAATTGACAAATGACTCGTCATTCATGCATATATTCAAGCAAAAATATTAAATTTATAAATCTTTTGCTCTAAATGTATACCAAGATTATTACATGCAGATTACATATCTGAGCATTTCTTTTTGGAATAACCATTTGTTATTAATTTTTTTTATTATTTGTCTGTTTCCAAGATTAAAATGCGTTAATATGAAAAATAACAATAAAATTAGTCTCATTAAAATTTTTGAATCGATAATTAAAGATTAAATCAAAATTAACAACTTAGAGACACCCCGTGTAGAAAATTTTTAGGGCTAGTATGAAACTATTGGTTAGTATGAACCTATTAGAATTTATAGGGCTACATGAAACTATTGGCCCTGATAAGGATAATATAGGGATGCCATAGAAAAGGTTATCCTATCATCATTAATATGGGGCCTTATTAAATATTATTAAGGACATATAATAAAAAAACTAATAATTGTCCGATGTTTAATTTATAGTTTAATTTAAAGTTTCATTAAATTATTTAAAGGTTTTATTAAATTATTTTATTAAATAATTTTGAAACTCAAACTTTAATGAAAATAAATAAAAAGGCCCTTATAAAGATTTTTTAACTGCGCCGCATTTTTAAAATGAAGAATTCATGTAATACTAATTTATAAAAATTCAAAAGAAGTTAATAATATTACATTAATAATAACATTAATGTACAATGAATTCAATTAACAAAGAATTTCTAAAAACTAAAAATTCTCTAAAATAAATTCTCTAAAAATTTTAAAAAAACTTACTTATTTCATACCTTTCATTATAAAAAATACAAAAAAATTTTTAAATACATAGATATACAGGGTGTCCGTCAATTTTCGACCTTAACGAAAGAAGGAAGTAGATTGGCCATTTGTTACAAGCCATGTAGGGTCCAAGTTTTCTTTCTAGTAGGGAATTAATTAAGGCATATTAATCAGGTCCTTTTTAAAACCTTATTACTTTTTCTACAAGGGACGGCACAGTAATTAGAGCTCAAGAAAGAGACAACACTTCCTTTCTTTTGATTATATATTTTAAAATAAATTTAATTAAATAATAATAAATTACAACATTATATTTTAAAATAAATTTAATTAAATAATAATAAATTACAACATTAACAAAAATAAATATTTCAGATAATCTTTTAGAATTTAACACGTTGGCACATTACATGCGTTTTAATCTACGAGTCAAGGGCAAATATTTTTATAATTCAATGCGATACACACTTATATAACACTTTGTAATGCATATTGTTAACATTGAGCTGAAGAGGGATCAAAAGCGTTCGCTTTTTGTTATTATAATGTGTTTTTTAATAAACTAATATTGAAAAAAGATAGAAGTGTTCTTGCTTCTTTGCGCTCCAATCGCGCATTAATTCTTATGCCAATTTCTTTTTGATTTTAATTACTAGTTATAAACATGATTCATCAGATTCTAGCTTTTTACAAATTGATAATGATATGTTGTTGTGTATCTCTCATGTTGACTTGAGATTCAATGATGATATTGGACATATTTCTTTCAATTTGCTATTTTATTACAGATATGTGGATGATATAGCTCAGACGATTCCCTCTTCCATCAATAGGATCTTGGATATTTTTAACTCTTTTCATCCGAGATTTCAATGGAGGAAGGAATAATAAATTTAATTTCTTTTATGTTACGATAGTCGCGAACAATAATTTAATTGAATTTGAGATCATAAACCCACTTTTTCTGGGAGATATCTAAATTATAAATCGAATCACTATGTTATAAGAGAAAAATAATTGTAAAATTGATGGATCGTGCATTTTTATTGTCATATTCCAGCAGGGCCGGTTCTAACCTGAGCGGGACCGGGGTATGATATAAAATGTTGGACATAAAACTTTTATATTATCTTTCACATTGAAATCTATTTTATATATTTATTTTTCACTGAAAATAAAAAAGATATATTATTTTATAAATATAGAAATAGTTATTTTGTATTACATATTTAAAAATAAAAAACTCTTGACTTTTTGCTTTGGGATATAAAAAAAATTTCATACAATAATATGTAAACTTAAATATAATAAAAATTATATGTAAATTTAAACATGTATTTTTCTCGCTTTTGCTGCGGCAAAGACAATTACGTTATTAAAATCAGTCTCATGAGATATGTTATTTTCGACATCATTGCTATACCCGATAGTCTTTCATGCGATATACAAGAACGAAGATAGTTTTTAATTAATTTTAATTTTGAAAAACTCCTTTCTAAAAAAGCAATCGTTACAGGTAAAGTTAGCAATATACGAAGTACTATATATATATATTTGGATAAACTGAACTGAGTTTGGTTCTAAACAGGTATTTTAATATATCAAACAGACAATTTTGTTCATTAGGAATTATATAAATTAATGATCTTAATTTTTCCAATAGTTCTAATCCACTTATATCAAAGTCACCTTCATCTTGTAATATAATGTACAGGTCGTTACAGTTCTTTTTCAGTATTTCCTTAGATAAATTCTTAATATTACAAAAACTATATAAAACCCAAAATTGTCTCTAAAATTCTGATATAGTTTGAATCAATAACAAAGTTCAATAAACGATTGTATGGCCTTGTTAATAATTAAAAAGAAATATTCCATGCAAATTTCTCCTCGTCTGGGGCTATTATTTCATCAGCACATTTATAATCAAACGTTTTGTAACAGCAATCCTTTTTTGAGAAAAATAAGGTATTATGCTACTCTCTGCTGCAATATTTTTTGCAATTCGCACACTTTCGTAATCATTAGTTCTAAAAGTTAATAGTCTGTTGAATAGAGCCTCTAGAAATAATATTGCGACATCCATTTGCATAATTTGTTGCACCAATTTACTCACTCTGTTCACTTCTACGAATAATTCGTACCATATAACGGTTAATAATATAAATTGATAAGATTTAATTTCTTTCAACAAAGATTGTGTTTTACTAGCAATTTTTGAGTCTTCAGGCTCGCACGCTTAAAATTTCTTCAAATGTTTTTATAAGTTCTTTAACTTGGAACCGTACAGCTTTTACATTTTCTGTCCGACATTCCCATCTAGTTTCAGATCATGATTTCGGTGTAAACTTTAAATATTTTTCGCAATATCGTACCTATAGTTAGAAGCTGACAGAAAAGTATATATGCGTTGAATAACTCCAAAAATGTAATAGCCTTGGAAGAAACACTAGCAATATCGAAAAGTACGAGATTTAAATTATGGCAACCACATGGAGTGAAAAATGCTCCTTGATTTTCTCATAATATTTGTGCCTGAACACCAGATCTGTGTCCTTTCATATTTGCCCGGTTGTCATATCCTTGTCCTCTTACAATTTTTAAATCAAGCCAAGATCTGTTAGATGTTTGATTTTAAGGTTTGTGTTAATCTCAATCCGCTACTGTCTTTGACAACCAAAAAACCTGTAAAACTTTCACAAATTTGTGCTTCGTCTTCATGTGCATAAACGTATTATGGCAGGATAGTTGCTCCTCATAGGAAGTATCAGGTGTGCAAGGATTAAAAAATATTTGGCAGCCCTTACACGATCAGTCGCTGTATTACTAATTTAATTTCCCATCAATGATAATTAATTCATTCTGTATATCTTTGCTGAGATAATAAACTTTATTTTTTACTTCATTGACATGTTCCATCAAACAGGATCGTACCGAGACATAAGTTCAATTAATCCTAAGAAATTCCCATTATTTTTTGTGAAAAGCACGTCAGACAAACCTCTTAAGGTCATATTACGCTCCGGATAGGTATTGGATAATAGATATTTATTCTTTCTAAAATATTCCTGCATTTTTGTTTTTCTTGGATAAATAATTTTTCAGAGTGAATAATATTATTTTTGTTTATAAGTCTTTTGCGTGCGTCATTCCACATATCCATCGATTTAAAATGTACTTTAGACAATTCATGCTGCTTTAATCACTCTGATGTGTGCTGCCAGTCATTAAACCCATTGGTTTCATGTTAACCTAAACCAGTTTGAAATAACTTGCATGAGAAACAAAAAATACGATTTTTTGTTTATGAAATATATTAACCATGCCCTATCAATTAGTTCTCCATTGCTTATTTTCTGTTATAATATATCTGATATCAATTTTCATGTTATAATATATTTACAAAAGGATTGTTTTTGTCATTTTTTGGATAGTAATGTAGGTAATGTCTTTCAAGCCTTTTTCTCTTAAAAATTGTTTTCTGAGATTGAGTTAGACATAATGGCCAGATACTATATCTTTAAGTTTTTTATAATCGACAGCACTTGTACTTTCTTTCTCAGTGTTTATTGTGTTCTTAAAACAAAAATTTATATAACACATGTGTGAAGGAAAGTTAATATATGAATAATAATAAATAAATAAATTAGCCTATCATTATTCTTAAATCTAGTGCAAACAGCACTAATTTTTTTGATATACTTACAATTCCTACTTAATTATGTTCAAGATTATGATCAAAACTAATATAATCCTGAAAATCCTGATTTTCATTTGTCTTTCAACTATTTTACATGAATGTAGTGGACTTGTACCAGGCATTTCTTCGGTACGTTCATTCTCCAATGTATTAATTTCAATGTTTAAAAATTTGTGCATGGCATCTTTTATAAGCGATAATTACACGATTATTTTATTTCGGCCTAGATAAATTTCGTAGTTTTTGTCATAAAAACATAATGCCAAAAA